CAACAATTGTGCGTCCCCACGGTTACCGTACCGGCTTAGCCAAGGCAACATCACGTTGACGTTCACGGCGTGGCCCCCAGCTGAAGAGGCCAGCGCCACCGCACCCCCGGCTCTGCCAGCAGGTGTAGACTTTCCCCACTTGAAGCACCTATTGAGGCCGTGGGCACCCCTGCAGCCAGAACATTTGTGCCGAAATTTACACGCGGCACCCCACTTGCATTGCCCTTCATTAAACGACCAACGGAACCCTTTCTTCTGACTGGCAGATGAAGAGGATGATCCTGCACCAGCCCTGCCCTGAAAGGGCGCAGTTTTCTGAGCCATCATCACTTTCATCCAAAGCGGTAGGTCCATCTGGTCCCACCGCATTCCAGGATTAGCTGACAACCGTTGGCAGAACTACTCATCGTACTTCCACCAAGCCAAGCCCATATAAGTTCGATAAGCTTCCCAGATCCCGTCCATATAACAGAAAAATTGAGAAAACCACTCTGGAAACATTTCACCTAAGACACTAGCCAGAATACAAAAAGCCCGAAGCCAGTTCCCAAAAGACTTAGGTATGTTCCGATACCTCCGCCTTTTTTCCTCCTCTTCCTTTTTGGCATCTTTCTTATCTCCCGACCTGGAAGACGCAGACGTGCTGCCTCCCATCCCCCACCTGCTCCAGTAACACTGCCTGATGTGGACCGCCTGTCAGGGGCCTCCGTAGTCGACACCTCCGACCCAGTTCCAATACTGCCAACCGCCGCCTCGAACATGCAGCCTGCTCCTGAACCGTCTGCCGTGGGAGCAGCTCCTAGGGATGGGCTCCTCTTCCTCCTCCGTGCCGAACTACCTTCCCTGGTGGTCCAGTGGAGAGTGAACTCTAGCCTGTGGGGCTAGAGTTCACTCTCGCGAGATCTCAGCATTGCCGCGGTAACCGCGGCAACGCTTGGACCGCGTGAGAGGAACCCGGCGGAGCTGCTGACAAGAGCTCCCCGGGTCCTCTCCTGCCTCCCTCCCTGTCGGTTGGTGAGGGAGATCTTTGATCTCCCTCACCGGCCCATGGAGGGAGGCACATAGCGTGTGCCGCGGGGATTAGGGTGTGCCTAGGCACACCGGGCACACCCCGTGCTCACGCCTATGCCAAGGAGTATGTTCCAACAGACACTGAAAAGAGGCATTTACGTAACTGTATGTATAGAAACACAAAAATAGGCGCTCACTACAATAATGCAAGAGTGGGAAGCAGTAAATCAACGAGGCTTCACAAAACCTTGCAGACGATACAAATTATAACAAACAAAGTGACAAACAGTGCCCAAAAGGTGTAGTATAAACGTACAGCATTCTTGTGTTCATATAAATACATAAATTTACATATACTTCTTTGAGATCGATATATACAGGTATTGAGTGATTTTGTAACCTCAAAAATAAGAAGAAAGGACAACAAATGGTGCAATAGGTAACTGTATATGCCGTGCTTTGCATAAAGTGTGTAGAGGACCACACTTTACTGAGCTACTAAGAGCTATGCTGTAAATTGCCTGGACGGTACAATCCACGTCTTAGGATATGTGGAGCTTTGTTGTAGTTGCCGTCCAATATATGTAGGAAAAATAAAGCAGGAAAAGGCAAAGGTAGGAAGTAAATAAGTGGTATCCTATTTACAATTTCCAGAGCAATGACTTGCTCTGGTTTGGAGAGTGTTGGTGGTATCCCCACCTGGGAAATGCAGGATGAACCAGGAAATATGATTACAGGTATGATATGATTAAAACAATAAAATGGGACTTAAATGTAAATTAAAATGGCTTTATTCATATATTGTTAGAAAAGTATAATATATATAAAAAGCAATGAAAAATAGGAAATAAATTCTTAAGTACCACACTTGACGCGTTTCACCCGGCATGGCTTCCTGAGAAGTATCACCATATGCATCACAAAATAATTAAACAGATGCCATTACACAGTCACTAATATGTGCCGGGATAAAACCCCCTACACACTAAAAGGGGCGTCGTCAGTGACTTTAAATGTATCACAGACATGGCCGCCTATTTGTTCTTATTACTGTTTTCTTCAAATTGTGAATGCTTTATTATGATATTTATTATTTATTATTTTTAGCAAAAGCATAAGTTAAAAAAAATAAATAAATAAAAAAATCTGAACAAAGAATAAAAAATGGAGGAACACCTAATTATTTAGGAGACATCAGAGGAAATGCTGGAAAAGGGCGCCACTTTACAACATGCGGAGTAACGGCTTTATACGTAAGAAAATACCACATGCACACAAAACTGGTACAAACGTTTAAGTGAATTCTATAATGTTTATGTTTCTCCTACTCTAACGCACGCATTTCTCTTAACAGAAATTAGAGCATAAAATTAAAAACTTCCCCTTTCAGTCAAAAATGAATTTGTTTCTCCTTTTTTTTTATTTTATTTATTTTTCTTGTCTTCTTTTGTATCAACAGCAGCTAAAGCACCATAACCACTACATTTGTATGTAACAGTCTGATGCTTTTGCCAGTAGCTGTGATGGCGCAGCCATACAACCAGTGTATTTCCCATCAGCCATCACAGAGTTCTGAGAGCTGGAGCTACACACAGCACCGCCCCACACCGTGTCTCCAGCATGGTCTCCAGCGCAGACATACACTGCAGACACAGGCGGCCATTTTGTCGAAGATCAAGCATTAGTGAATGTCTATGAGACTGGCTGACCCAAAATGGCTCCTGCGGTGGAGTCCGTAAGCGCTCCCACCCTGAAACGTATCTCTAGTGTTTAGACTGCCCCGGGTGAGTTCACGTTCCTGCCGTGCTCCCCGCACTCTCTTCCTCATTGGTCGACGCACGGAGCCAATGAGCGGCGTGCTTGTTTGGAGGTTGTGGGAGCCGAACGGCGGTGCGGACGGTGTGGAGAGGTGAGAGGGGAGCTGTGCAGGTTCTCTCAGCTGGCCAGAGGGGCCTCTCCCGGGCCTGTCCCGCAGAGCTCACACTCTAACCATCATCCCATGTGAGGTCACAGGTGGCAGACATTTTCTGTGTCAGTAATGGCCAAATGCTAAATCTCCTGCCCTGTAGAACTACAACTCCCATGATGCTTTGCCAGGCACCATAACCACATCCTTCCAGTCCCTGCAGTGCATCATGGGATGTAGGCTATTATAGACTATCTGTCTGATTATAAAATGCTCTGGGTCTAGTAGCTGTCTGCTGGAGGAGATGTCAGACATTAATAAGGAGTTAAATGTTATGTAAAGGGCATTCACATATAAAGGCTGTGCTTTCTAAGTAATGGGGTGGCAGTACTCTGTGCACAGTAAGGCCATGCGGGGAATTTAGTTAGCCCCAGTTTCATTCTTGGTGTGAGAATACAAGTTTGGGGGTTATTTGCTAAACTGGAAATGGTTGAGAGAAAGAGGAAGTTGAAAATTTTAGGCCACAATTTAATAATAGAACAGGGGGGGAGGGGGGAATTATTTGTAGATTTTTAATATTTACAGATTAAGCACAACTTGTTTTCTATTTTCAATTCAAGAGCGTTTACAGACTGAGGCGGTACACAGGTGGACAGAGAACGCGGGAGTGGAACTTTAGCGTTACACAAGTGATGGAACAATAAAGGACAACTGTCACCTAAAAATATTTTTTATATTTTAAAAAGAAAAACAAACTCACCCCTACCTTTTAGTATTTGACTGGATCTTTCAGCCAAAGACATGCGTCTTGGGTCACACCGTGTTTGCTTTTAAACACTGTCTGACCCAAGGTGCATGTACATGGCTGAAGGATCCTGTCAAATACTAAAGGTAGGACAGAGCCAGATTAGCCGTTGGGCAACCAAGACAGCCACCTAGGGCTCTGTGTGGGGAGCAGGGAGTATTCTGGACTTTACCAATATTAGGTACAGACCACTTTAAGGGCGCACTTGATGACTCAGAGTGTTGGAATGGCAAGGGCACTCTTAAAGTGTTCTGCAATTGATATTGGAAGGAGGGGTTGGAGAAGGGCATGCACACAATCCCCCACACATTCAACTCTTAATCAATGTAAACACACTCAGTATCTGCCCTATAGTTGTCACTGTTATCCATACACACAACACTCAGCCTCCACTTACACACATCACTCACAGGAACAGTCCAGGACTCTTGGAGGAGGCAACAGTTTGGCTACCTGCCTAGGGTCATGGTCAACCTTAATACAGCTATGAGGTAGTGATGAGTTTTATTCCTTATTTTAGAACATATCCTTGGTTTAAAAAAAAAAAAATCCTATTAACTCTTGATGAAAGAATTATACTATAATATTTTGGAGATAACAGTTGTCGTTAAAGCATGTTTTTTAGTGGTATGCACACACACACAAAAAAATGGTTTTGACTATAAACAAAATGGTGGAAGTTTGTGCTTAGTGTACAGCCCACTAGGACTGTTAATCAGCCTCTGGATTTCTAGTGCCTGTTTAGGCCTACTTTAGTGTGCATGCAAAATGGGTAAGAGAACCTGAGGCATGGACAACATAGCATGTTCTGCGGCTCAGCCAATAAGAATATACTGCTCAGTTCACTATATTGTGGACTAGGCTGTGTATAAATTATAGAAACACAGAATGTGATGGCAGATAAGAACCATTCGGCCCATCTAGTCTGCCAAATTTTCTAAATACTTTAATTCCCTGGACTTATCTTATAGCTAGGATAGCCTTATGCCAATCCCACGCATGCTCAAACTCCTTCACTGTGTTAACCTCTACCACTTCAGCTGGAAGGCTATTCCATGCATCCACTACCCTCTCAGTAAAGTAATATTTCCTGATATTATTTTTAAACCTTTGCCCCTTAGCTGTCCCTGTATGGCTGCTATCCGTTTATTGATTCTAGTCCTTGTATGTGATGATTGAAACTACTCTCTTGGGAAAGCTTACTTATCCCATAAACCATTGCTGGCTAGGAGATAATGGGGTAACATCAGTATATCTAGATACATTGTGGTGTACCTAATTACAGCGTCTCATCCATGTGCAGGATCCTGCAGACACACCCAAGTTGTATTATTTATTTTATTTATGACTTTTTTTTTTTTTTTTTTTTTTAAATGACGAGCAAAGAGAAGAATAGATAGGATTTCTGTGTATCCAGTGATAAAATAGTAAAAAATCGGTATGCTAAATGACTTCTAGTATGGTAGTGGAAGGATTCCTTCTACGGTGACTGTTCAGACTAAGCAAATAAATTAAAACTTACCCTTTAATGGAAATATAACTAAAAAGGTGGGATTCCCTAATAATGTCTTAAGGGAAAAAACATCTCCACCAAAACCATGAATGAACCAAATGAAAACCATAAATACGACTATTAACAAACACATAAACATCCAATGTGAATATGAGAGGGTAGGTATACTAAATATTGTAGCCTATCCCACATACCTCACCAAAAAAAGGGTGGTGTATAGAGGTATATGTGTCTAAACCTCTAACAATCTAGTTAAATACTAGAATATACAACCAGACACTCCAAAATCACATAGGCTGCACTTAGGCTAGAACTAGATACATAAGATGTAGACAGTATAAAGGCGCAACAATGTCTCAATGAACTATAACAAATCGTAACAGATTGAATAATGTGTCGAGTATAATCCTAACCAGATAGCTGACCTAATATAAGTGCACTAAAGAGTGTCAGTTGTTTAATGTAGACTAACTCTTTAATACCAATCAGCAGTATATATCTTCTATAAAGCCACCCATGCCTGTCTCACCCAGCTCTGTTTTTACGATTAGGATTAATCCTTGGTATCTCCTGGAGCGGACTACATACAGACGTGTCAAGGCTTTTTGATACTCCTAGGGGTAAGCATGTGTTTATATCGTTTGAGGATTCCTGCAGGGTTATTGTCTAAACATAGAAAAGAATGTCTCTTACCTAACATGGTCAAGATGTGCCTGTCATCCAGGTTTAGGCCTTAATTTAATATTATTGGATAAGATTTTCTAATAATTTGAATCTTTTCGGATGCACTTTTCAAATATATATTTTTTTCAAAATAGAATAAAATATCCTATTTAACCCCTTAACGCCGGAGGGCATACTATTACGTCTTATTTTAAGCGGCTCTAAACGTCGCCGGGCGTAATAGTACGCCCTCCGTTTTTTTTTGTATTTACCCGGTCGCCGGCGATCCCACGCCAGCGATCGCGGTTGGGGGGACTCCGAGGGAGCCCCCCACGGCACATCCGACGTCCTGAAGCCCCCCCAGCCATGTGAGAGTGAGGTCCTTGCGAGGACCACACAATCACATGGCCAGGATAGCTGGCTTCTGTATTGCCAGCAAGGGGGCTGCCTGTAATGACAGGTGGTCCCCCTGCTAGCTGAAAATAAAATAAATTAAGTTAATAAGTGTAAAAAAAAAATGATATACTTAGATTATATATATATATATATATATATATATATATATAATCTAAGTATATCATTTTTTTTTACACTTATTAACTTGTTTTTATTTTATATATATATATATATATATATATATATATATATATATATATATATATATATATATATATATATATATATGTTATATATATATATATATATAAGTATACACACATACACTGCTCCAGGTGTATTTTACTACTATATCAAGCGTTTTGAGACTGATACTGATTAAATATATATATATTATATATAATATAAAAAAAATGTAAATACGCTAAAAATAAATAATTAAAAATATATAGATGTAAGTTATTTCGTTTCAACTGTATTGTGATATTAATATATATATTTATATCAAAAATACACGAGAATAAAATAATATATATCTATATACATAAATATATATATATATATATATATATATATATATATATATATATATATATATATATATATATATATATATATAAAAATATTTTAAAAAAATTATATATACATACATATACACATATGTATATATACATATATTCTACATATATATTTATGTAATATTTTTACATAATTAGATATCTTAATTACAATTAGCGGGACCTGCCTGACAACCCATGCCGAAAGTAAAGGGAATTTAATTTGCTAGCACTATATTTAACCCTATAACTTTCCAAGACACCATGAAACCTGTGCATGGGGGGGTACTGTTCTACTCGGCAGACTTCGCTGAACACAAATATTAGTGTTTCAAAACAGTAAAATGTATTACAACGATAATATCGTCAGTAAAAGTGAAGTTTTTTGCATTTTTCACGCACAAACAGCACTTACACGGACGATATTATTGCTGCGATACTTTTTACTGTTTTGAAACGCAAATATTTGTGTTCGGCGAAGTCTCCCGAGTACAACAGTACTCCTCATGTACAGGTTTTATGGTGTTTTCAAAAGTTACAGCGTCAAATATAAGGCTTGTTTCATTTTTTTCACATTAAAATTTGCCAGATTGGTTAGGTTGCCTTTGAGACCCTATGGTAGCCCAAGAATGGAAATTACCCCTATGATGGCATACCATTTGCAAAAGAAGACAACCCAAGGTATTGCAAACGGGGTATGTCCAGTCTTTTTTAGTAGCCACTTAGTCACAAACACTGGCCAAAATTGGCGTTTTTTGCATTTTTCACACACAAACAAATACTAATGCTAACTTTGGCCAGTGTTTGTGACCAAATGGCCACTAAAAAAGACTGGACATACTCCATTTGCAATACCTTGGGTTGTCTACTATTGCAAATGGTATGCCATTATGGGTGTAAATTTCATTCCTGGGCTACTATAAAGTCTCAAAGGCAACGTAACCAATCTGGCGAATTTCAATTTCAAATGTAACGTGCTATATTTGACCCTGTAACTTCCCAAAACACCATAAAACCTGTACATAGGGGGGTACTGTTTTACACGTGAGACTTTGCTGAATACAAATGTGTATTTTATTGCAGTAAAAGCAAACAGTGTTATGACATTGACAGTTAAAATGTCATGTAGAACTAAAATTAAAAAAATCTTATTTTCTCCCATTTTTTTCATATTAAATTATGTTTCATATGTTTGATATTAAATGTTTCCCCTGAATAAAATTATATATAATAAGGGTGGGTGCATTTACTATGAAAGAGGGGAATTATGGTTGGACAGACATGTAGCGCAAATGCCAGGTTTTGTTTACATTTTGTTTTGTTCACAACGTGTACATTTGGCTCCGTCCTTAAAGCGGCACTGTCATGCCGAACTTACCTTTCCTCAATCTCTTCCTCTTCTCCCCCTCTCTCAGGATCTGTTATTCTTTTCTTCCTGTCTTCTTTAATTTTCTATAAAATCATAAGACAAAGAAGGGACTCTTTGCCTTATGGAGGATTCCTCCGCTTGACCAGCTCTGACCAGCGGAGGAGCAAAGTGTGCTTCATTTCCGCTGCTCAGAGCAATTTTCCCATGATCCTTACCTTCCCTCTGTGTTCCCACAATGCTTCCTGTCACTTTCCACAAAACTGCCGAATTGTGTTCTAACTGAATGACAACAGTATGTTCGTTTCTTTTAGAACGCAATTCGGCACTTTATTCGGATCGGAGTTTCATTCTAATGAATGAAACTCTGATCCTATTCATTGCTGTGGCTGCATCTTGCAGACGCTTAGTAGATAACTCCCTAATTCCCACGGTATCAGGGAGTTATCTACTAAAAGGCTGAAGGACCTAAATTGGTCTTTCAGCCAAATTTACTAATACTAAGTAAAGATTACTTAGTATTAGTAAATTAAATGCCCCTACTCGCTATACCGAGTAGGGGCATGTGTAGTAAGCGGTGAGCAGCTTATAGCTGCTCACTGTAAAACAAAAAAACAAAAAGAACTTTCCCACGCTGTGTAAAATGACTCAGAGCACTCTGATTGGCTTAAACCCACCAATCAGAGTGTTCTAAGCCTAATTGCAGGGCGGGGCAAGACTTTATAAGCCTTGACCCGCCCTGCGGAGCTCAGTATGCGGCGTGCCCTCGAAGGGCGAACTTGGATTAATTTTTTTTTGCGCTCGTTTTTTTTTTTTAAAGTGCGACGGGTGTAATGGATTTTTATTTGGCCTTTTTGGGGGCTGAAGAAAGAAGATTTTAGAAAAAAGAAGACGTCAAATGGTAAGTTAAATTTTTTTTTTTTTTTTATAGGTTAGTTATTTTATTCCCCCCTCACTATTTGTAGGGTGAGGGGGGTAGGTAGGGGATAGGTTTTTTTTGGGTGGGGGGGATGGTGACTAGGGGCTTGGGACCCCTAGTCACCTTGATTGGGGGGGGTGTTTCATTTAGGGCCCCCACCCACCGCTCAGGGGTGGGGGCCAGGGGGGGAGGACAGTAGGTCCCCCCCCCTTATTGTTTTATTAGGGCCCCCACCCACCGCTCAGGGGTGGGGGCCGGGGGGGAGGACAGTAGGTCCCCCCCCCTTATTGTTTTATTGGGGCCCCCACCCACCGCTCAGGGGTGGGGGCCAGGGGGGGGAGGACAGTAGGTCCCCCCCCTTATTGTTTTATTGGGGCCCCACCCACCGCGCAGGGGTGGGGGCCAGGGGGGGAGGACAGTAGGTCCCCCCCCCTTATTGTTTTATTAGGGCCCCCACCCACCGCTCAGGGGTGGGGGCCAGGGGGGGAGGACAGTAGGTCCCCCCCCTCATTATCTTCATGGCCCCCACCCGCCGCTCAGGGTGGGGGAGGGGGGGAGGACAATAGGTCCGCCCCCCCTTATTGTAATTTGTCTTTTTTTTCAACAGTGAGCAGCCATAGGCTGCTCACTGTTTAGTAGACATGCCCCTACTCGCGGTAAAGCGAGTAGGGGCATTTGGGAGATTTTAATCTCCCTTGTGCTATTATGGGGGTCATATTGACCCCCATAGAATGAGGGGGGGTACTGGGGGGGGCTTATGAAGTGGTGGGGAGCACTGCTCCCTGCCACTTCTATAGTTACATATTACAAGGAGGGAGCTGCACGCCGGTAGCTCCCCCCCTGTAATAAACTGCACGAACAAACTAACACTGATACATAGTGTTAGTTTGTTCGGCTGATCTTTCTATTCACTCATTTGTCTGTCTGATGAATGAATAGCTGAAATTCCCGTTCGCATGTCCAGGTGTTTCACTGGGCATGTGCGGGAATCTCAGTGTCTGCCTAGTGTGGGCTGATGAAGTGTCCCACAGGGACTTCATCTACCCACACAAAGATGGCGGCGCCCTGAATATAGATCGGGGCAGAAAATAAGGAATAAAAAATAGGTAATGTGGGGGGCTTAGGGGCATTTGGGGGTGACTAGTGGGTCAATTGGATGTAGTGGATGCGGGAGGGGGGTTAAAAAAAAAAAAACGGGATTCGGCATGACAGTGCCGCTTTAAGGGCTTAAAAAATCAAAATATTACAATGATATTTTTTTATAATATTAAATCATATTTATAAAGTTTATCCAAACATATGCAATCATTTGAAAGCTTATCCAACAATATTGAGGCCTTTATGTGATGAAAATGTGGTGTTTAGTGAGGAAGCCTGCTGGTCACCTGAAATGTGGCAAGGTTAAATTGGATAACCGGTTAAAAGGACTACACATACATGCTTTTACCATACAACTTTTTTTTTATAATCACGTTTCATACAAGTGTGTCAAATGCTTGCAACTATAAGATTGTCAGGGTGTTTTGTGACACCCTGCTTTTGTTAGACTTGTTCATTTGGTTTCAAACAAAACTGCAATTCATCTGAATTTTGGCTGAGATTATGTTGACCAAACTTAAAAAAATAAATAATAATAATAATTTTGCGGAACAACTCTTTTCCACTGTGCACAAGTCTAGCTTTCATGTTTTCATTTTTTTGGTGTCTGTAAAACTATCTGTTCTCTGAAACCTGCTCTTCTATAAAACCTGCCCTTTTATATTTTCTTTGTCTGTCTGCTTTGGCTTTGTCTGTCATAATGCTTTGCTTTTATTGGTCTGCTTTAAATTCACACGTCTAAATCCAATATAGGGAAGAATTCTCTTTATTATAACTGCTGTCTCACTGCATTTGTTCTACCTTTCTTGTCTTGGCAGTTGTGCGTGGACTGTGATCCTGGAGATGCAATTATGACAGAGTCAGAAGAGACTGTGCTGTATATAGAGCATCACTATGTGTGCTCTGAGTGTGGAGAGGAGTATCCTAACTTGGAGGATGCTGTCGTACATCAGCAGACACACACAACAGATGTACAGGAATCACAGTATCAAGTGCTTGGTCTTGACTCTCACGAAAACCAGTACCAGTGTCTGGAGTGTGGCCAGGTTCTAATAACCCCTGGAGAGCTGCTAATGCATCAAGAGATGCACCTTAAGATGATGAAGCAGGTTCCACCTGCCAGTCCCAAGGCCCAACACACCTCCCGAAGTGCTATCCATTATGAATGCCCAGTTTGCAAGGCTCTGTTTAACAGCCAGGATGTCTGGATGGCCCATCGGTATACTCATATGCAAGCTCAGGATGTGTCACAATCTAAAGTACTACTGAAGACGGATGACCATGTCATGGAGGAAACCATTCAACTCGTGTGCTCTCCTTCAGTGCCTGGGGAGGTTCATCTTGTAGCAGGTCAGCAACACATCGAAGTACCCACTCAGCCTTCTGCTGCAGTGTCACATACTCAAGTGCTTGTGGGACTGGAGCATTCTTACAAGAAGAATGAAGATGCTGGGGAGGATTGCGCAGTTGAAGTTTTGCTTTATAAATGTTCACAGTGCACACAGCTGTTTCAAACACCCGAGGAGTTTTTGGAACATCAAGCAACCCACTTTGCTGCCGAGGAATGTGCTCCAGATTCAGGACTTGAAACATTTGAGCCTCCTGAACCATCTCCAAAAGAGCAAGTAGATCAAATACCAAAGGAAAATCCACCCACAGAAAACTGTGAGCAGGAGAGCAATGTTGTCTCTGTGGCAGCTGAAGAGCAGCAAGTAGATACAGATGGCACGAACTCTGCATTATCTTGTGAGAGTTGTGTAAAGACATTCCAAAGTGCTGAAGAACTTCAGCTACACCAATTGTCCCACCAGACTGGTCCTTTCAGCTGCCCACTCTGTAGCAAAATCTTCCCTACACAAGTGGAAGTCGGAGAGCACCTAAGGTCACATCAGAGTGAGTCGCACTATCTTTGCATGGATTGTGGGATCGGTTTTTCCAGCGAGGCTATCCTGCTAAATCATCGTCGCACCCACCTTTCCAACCCTCTCTATTCTTGTGAGTGTGGAGAGACCTTCCTTAATATGACAAAATTCCTTTACCACCGCCGTTTGCACAATAACAAACAAAAAGATCCTGCACTCGTGCAGGAGCCAAAAACATCCACTCAAACATTACCAACGCCAGCTGGTGGCTTTATGTGTGCCCCGTGTGGGAAGGCCTTTCCACTTCTGCACCAGCTACTACGCCACCAACGTTTTGTGCACTCGCTTGAAAGGAGGCACAAGTGCCCAAGTTGTGGAAAACCCTTTAAAAAACGTTCACACCTGCGCTCTCATATTCTTACCCATACCGGGGAACGTCCATTCTCCTGTATGGACTGCAACAAATCTTTCAACTCTCAAGCCAACCTACTTAGACATAAGCTCACTCATACGGGAGAAAAGCCGCATAAGTGTCAGCTATGCAACAAGGCTTTTAGCCAGTCGTCTACTTTGCAGCAACATCTATCCGTACACAGTCAAGAACATCCGTATAAATGCAATGAGTGCGGGGTCAACTTTCACCGTCCTTACCGTCTGTATATGCACCAGTACCAACATACCGGAGAGTACCCCTATAAGTGTCAGGAGTGTGGACTCTCTTTTCTACTTAAGAGACTCCTGGAAGTGCACCAACTTGGGCACCGTGGTCAGGTTCCTCATCGATGTGCAGAGTGTGGCACAAATTTCCCTACCTTACTCAGGCTGCAGGATCATCGCTGCAACAAATCTGCCTCTGTAGAGGGTGAGAAGGTGGAGTGCCCTGTGTGTGGCAAGAAAGTAATAAGTGATGCCCGTCTTAATGCTCATGTTGCATCTCAACATGCGGGTCCCAGGACTGATAATGGATACCCACAAAAGGGTGAGCTGCAGGCCCCCATTTCACTCAAGAAGAAGAAAAACGGACCCAAGAGGTTGGAATGTCCTGATTGTCATAAGACATTCAGCACAGAAACCTCTCTTCAGGTTCACCGCAGGATTCATACCGGTGAACGGCCCTACCCTTGTCCAGACTGTGGCAAAGCCTTCAGACAGTCCACACATCTTAAGGACCACCTTCGACTACACACAGGGGAGAAACCTTTCAAGTGTGAAGTATGTGGCAAAGCTTTCACAATTGCAGTACGACTGTCTGAACATAAACGCATCCACACCGGGGAACGCCCGCATGTCTGCCCAGAGTGTGGTAGAGCATACCGCTCTTTTTCAAATCTGTGGAAGCACCGAAAGTTGCACCGCGAACAGCCAGACCCACCGACTGCCTCTGAATCTCACTCCAGTGACCTAGCCAGTACAGTGGCTATACTGGAGACTGTAGAAAGCATTCCCATTATTGAGACAGTCGAAATATTTCCTGAAGGCAGCGCAATCAGTGTGCAGGACATTCAATTTGAAACTCTGCAGGTAGAGAATATCCATTTGGGGAACATTCAGATAGGAAACCTATGAGGGGAAGGAATTGAAAATGATGCTTTGCATATAATGTAAACATTGCATTCAAATGTTCTTGCACTCGTTACGGAATTTGAAAATGTTTAACTCTTCCATGGGAATGTTAACACACAAACTATTTTAATGATCTCCTCTAGTTATTAATATTCAATAAAGAGTTATAACATCCTTTTACTACATTTTTTCCGTCCATAACGAAGGTATAAGACAGAGGTAGGCAACCTTCAGCATTTCACATGTGTGATACATCTCTCATAATGCTGGCAAAGCATCAGGGGAGATGCAGTCCAAAACATCTGGAATGCCAAAGGTTGCTTACCCCTGGTGTAGAATATTAACCTGTAACAGTTACGTCTGGCTTAGCTATATCTTGGAGTGTGTTTTGCATGTAACGGTCTGCAGTTCTTACAGGTTGTTGCTGCAATCCCAAACTTCTTTTGCTTTTATCTGCTAAATCATACCTTTCTTCCGTTGGTCGAGTGTATACTTATTCATTCAGAAACTGAGCTCTCCATTCTTTCCTCCCTACCCCCTCTGTTCTCCCCTATCTCCCCATCTTCTCTTTTTTTACTGCCTCCCCTAGTCCTACTTGCCATGCTGCAGCAGTCATTTCATAAGCCAGTTGTAGTGTTGACTAAAGCTTTCTTTCCAGGTATCGACTGTAAACACACAGCTGACAACGTGTTGCACAGGTTATGTTTAATGTTCTATGATTTTATTTATGCACATAGCACGCTGTGAATTCCTAAAGAGGCACAGCATACACGATTCAGACGCCTACTCCCCTTAACCCCTTTAAGTCTTTGGGTCACTCGGTTCTATGGTAGTGCTGTGCATTTCTCCCGGTCTATTATGGAGATTACCAGCAGGTGGCAGCCCAAATAGTTCTAGTCACTGTGTAGAAAAGAAAATGTAATTCTCAGACAAATATTAAGTAGTGCTTAAACCCTTTGTGTATATACCCTATTAAAATTATTTTGATCGTGCATAGGTTTGAGGTAAGCTGCATTAGTGTCATATTCCCCTTCCACACACTAAACCTCAAATTGTAACTGAATAAAGCATCTTCTAGCTTGCTGCAGAAAAATACTGCAATATTGCACAACTTAGACATTATATACCAGGAAGTATCAACCTCTTACTAACAAGAATGCTAGTTTCTTTATAGCGTTTCAGGTAAACAAGGTATAGTACGTTTCATTAAAATTAGGATTTGAAGATATTTCAATGTGGTGGGATCTCGGCATTGCATTGCCTCACACGTTTCAAACCCTCAGTTACTGAAAAGTCACAGAGAGCATGGAAGGTAACATGGAAATTAATGGCACGTTGCACCCAAGGATTGCCATCAGGAGGGGATTAGTCCATACTGGATAAGAAGTCTTGCGGAATCTTGGGGCTCTATAAAGCTATGAAGTCTGTTTGCAGAGCTATAAACGTGTGTCTGTGGATTCCTTTGCCAGTAAGTATTCTTGTTCGTGTGTGCCTCTATGGGAGTTTTGTCTGTGTCTGGGAGTTTGTCAGGGTGCTCCACATCCAGTGGGTTTGTAAAGGGCCCCAATAGTTTTAATCAAAAGATATTAAAAATACATCACTTGACTGTTTACTGTGGATACAGCTGGCCCCTGTGTGAGAAAATGTGTGGCATCGCTTGTGTATATTCACATTCTAATCTTTTTATATTTTTGTAAACACAAGTGAGATGTGTTATGTGGGGTAAATGCCATCAATGGCTCTCAGGCTCATTATAAATCGGTTTAAGGAAGCTTCCAGATCTTCAGACATTGCACGTTTTTCTTTTCAAACATTTGTTTCATTGACCTAACTTTTGCCACATTGTATAAAGTTTTTTTACATTTTTTTTTTTTGTGAATCATTTTTTTGTCATTTTGCTAACAGATACAATTGGAAAAAGTATACAGAGGACCTTTGTCAGTATCATTCTGGAAATATGCCAAGATGTGACAGCGTAAAAACAGTGCGTACATAATCGAAAAAGAACTGTAGAAGCGTTAAACAACAACAAATTGATTGACCGTAATGAGGTGTAAGCTGAGCATGCTACAGAACAGACATGAATTGTTTACTTGCAAAAATATCGGTTTAATAAGAGATGCCTACTAATTACCATCATACGTGATTTTCACAGCGGTAAGAGATGCCTACTAATTACCATCATACGTGATTTTCACAGCGGTAAGAGATGCCTACTAATTACCATCATACGTGATTTTCACAGCGGCTCAGTCCATAGTAGTTGAGGAACCGTACCCTGAAAGGCTATTTTTTTTTTACATGGCTATTCGATTGCCAAGCTAGTCCTTGTCTTTCAACCTGCTGTGCCATAAAACATAGACACACAAAATTCATAGCAGAAACCTACTTTAACAAGATACTGGGTCTCTCTTCCAGGATGCAGTATGGCCTCTTGGGTACCATCTCCTTCTGTATTTCTCTTATGATTTCAGGGGTCTCGGGCAGCCTGAAATTACTATTGTGGCATACTGGCACCAAGATTTAGGAATGCCCCAAATTCACAATTTATGGGAATTGTTATACCGTGTTATAACACACATCAAACATGCCTGGTTTTACTACTGTCTCACTATACCAATGAAACGGTCTATTCACAATACAATCTTGTTGGAGCCCTGCAGTTTGGTGTTGACATGTCTTGAATAACTCTCTGTTCCCATACAGGTAGCAGCAGCACAATTACTTGGGTTATCCTGTTTTTCGATCCTACAGGCACTACTTATTACTAAATTATGAATTGGTTAAATGGTAATAGAAGCACTGTGAGTTCATTTCTCTTGCATCTGTGCCGACTGTCAGGTGAAAAAAGTAAAGCAACAATGACTGTCATGAAGCCAAGATGGCAGCTTCCAGTTGCCGGATAAATAGCTGTGAATTTCTACATTTAATTTTTTACTAATCACAAGTACATATTTGTTAAAAATAGGTTTAGAGCAGGCTTTCCCAAACTCCGACCATCCAGATGTTGCTGAACTACACCTCCCATGATTCTATTAAAGAAAGGCTGAGAATCATGGGAGGTGTAGTTCAGCAACATCTGGAGGGCCGGAGTTTGGGGAAGCCTGGCCTAGAGAAACACAATAGGGTCAGGAACACAAACCTGTATGCCTGACCCAATTGTGTTAAAACCACCATTTAGCCACTCTTTAACCTCCTTAAAAGGAATTAAAACCGATCTTATTTCCAGTGCTGCGTGGGCCTGCTATTGCTGACCGCCTCGATCCGCCTCCTTGCTGACGAGAAAATTCAGCAGTGCTGCTCCAGGAAGCACCTCCAGTGGCCACTGGAGGTGTACATGGGGGCAATATAAACACTACCTGAAAAAGCCAGCAGCGAATGATAATACTCACCAGAAGAAAACAATTAGCTGTAGTTGTGCTGTTGACTATAGTGTCCGTTTAAGTGAGCATAATATTAAGAATTACAATACATCCCTAAATGCCCCAGAATATTTTCGTCCCTTCTGATAAAAATGTTCTTTGTATTTCTCCTATTTTTATTATGTACCAGCAGTAGTGAAGGATGCAAGGGCTGCTGCTCAGAAGTACATTCGCTGGTGTTAATAAAAAGGCCCTCAGCGATGTGGTCAGAGTTTTAATAAAAGGCAGTAATAGAAAAAATGCCTTAAGAAGAAAGAAATCTCACCTCCTATTCAAGTATGTTTGTCTCTTAAAGTCATTCGCTTTCCCAGCCTAGAACTCCGAAATTGATCACATTGCATATTTATAGGGCTATTCAAAGTTAAGGCCTAATAGTATAGATGACAATTTTACAAATTTGGCTATTCTGGCCTTTAAAGGGTTACTCCAAGCACCACTTCAGTGCTTTGAAGTAGTCATGGTGCTTCACTGTGAAACACTGCACATTTTTACTTCACTTCCGGATGAATCATTCGTATAATAATGTTAGTTCTGTGCATAGTGTTCTATTCATTGCCTGAGAGTGGTCAGTCGATACTCTCAGCCAATAAGTGGCCAGCATTATTGGCATGTGGCTTCTGAACCTATGCCGAATGTTGAAAATCCTGCTTCAGAGCAGACCAGGATCCCAGTGAGACCCAGGTGGTAAGAGGGCAAAACATTGCTAAACGGTTTGACCCATTACCGGGGAACGGGACCTGAACACTCGTGACATAACCACTAAGGCAAGTCAACTTGAAGTAACAGCAATAGATTAAGCTAATATTAAATCCGTTCCTGTACTGCGAATACAAGTGATCCCAAATGATACCAGCATGTATGTTGCACGTACCAGGAAGTAACAGGACCGTTTGTATGACTGACAGCCAGGGGGTTGTAACAAGGTTAATAAAACTGCTAATTTCTATTAAAATTCTCTTGACACATAACTCATATCAGCAAGCTAAAGTGCTTTGCGGGTCTGGGTCCGGAGTTTCCCGTTAGAAGAAAATAGAGCAGCGACGATAGGTTCAATGTTCTACTCATTGGTATAACAAGTGACTATTGCCCTTTAATATCATTACTGTCTAGGTTATACTTGATATTCCTGCAATGCTTTACTTTTCAAGCCGAGAACTGTTCACATGAAGAATGAACAGCAGATCACATGGTTTGTGAAATCAATCAACTTTATTGTACTTAACGAGTACAGGACTACGATGCCTTGGATGTTTCATGGCCTCTGGTTCCTAATCATAACTTCTCATTGATCACACTTTAAATTGTTTGGTGTCTGCTGTACCAATTACTCTCACATGAATTATAATTCTTAGATAAAAATGATTTCTGTAAAGGAATGCAAAGATTTTTTTCCAAAGACCTAGTGCAAATATTGTAGCTAATCTTTCATTGTTGGTCTGTGGAAGAAGCAAAGAAACAGTTACAGAACTGAAACAGAAACTGCCACAATGTTGCAGGATGCAGGATGTTTTTCTGGGAAGCTCACAATCGTATAAAACACCTAGAACATTTTTTTTCCATGGTCACTTCCTCCAAGCTTACGCAGCGAGATGCGGGCTAGAAATAGGAGGGGGATGGGGGAAGAACAAGATGGATGAGCCCCAGACTCCCATCAGCATCAGCCAATAACATGACGCCACTGGACCCCAACAAAAACACCCTCCTGCACCCAGAATATATAGAAACAGGAAAGTGGCAAAAATATGTGACTATTTACTTCAAAGTGTGTGTGACCGTGTATATCTGTAATTTGCAGAAAATAAACGATGGTCCAGGCACTCAATGTTAAGCCAGTGAGCAGGTTTATTGGAGCAGATGAAAAGCAACGTTTCGGCCAACAACAGGGCTTTTATCAAGCGTATAACAGTAAGCAGGGCTGCCATCAGAAATATTGGAGCCCCATACACAACTCAAGGCCTGGGTCGGCTTCACCCTTGAGTTTGCAGTTTATGAATTAACCTTTTGCCCCCTTCCCCTGCCTTCAGGGAGGCTTAAAACATTATCTGTATTAGTTCCACCACTGCATCTAAATGACGTAAAATGGCCCGTTATTCATTTTATTTAATGGGCTCTGGACACACACAGGGTAGTAGAAGTAATGTATGTGGATGCAGTGTGTGTGTGTGTGTTTGTGGGGTTGTGTGTGAGAGGAGGGAACAGCTTTACATTTTCTTTATTGTTTTATAGATATTTTTTTCTCCCCTCCTTGCATCTAACCTCTGAGGGAGACACTACATTTCCTGGTGGTCCAGTGATGCTGTAGTGGCTCAGATTTGGTGTATATATGTGTAGGGGTGCATGCAGTGTGTTTAGTGGACAGGTCTGGAGTTTTGTGGGTGTGAGAGAGTGAGAAGTTTTTTGAAATTATAATTTTACTAGTTTACCAACCCCTGTCTGCTTCTAACCGGGAGGAGAGGCAGAGCATTAGAGCACTGCCTGGTGGTCCGGTGTTGCTGAAGAGGCTCAGCCTTCACCTTTGCCAAGTGAAGATTCATTCTTGCGATCCCTAGTCCATATGATATCCGAGCTTTGCCATGGTAATCCACTGCAACGCTCTGAAACCAGGAATTTGTGAGAATGTGAGGACCTGGTGCTGTAGTGTAGAGGAACGCTGAGAGCCTCGTGGCACCTACATATACTCACAAAAACCTGAGTAGGGAGATCTGATCCCCAATACCAGGGCGTGTATAGATATATAGCGATACTGGCCCCTTATGCGTGCAGGATTTGTACCCCCCTGAAGGCAGCCCTGTCTGTAAGTGTTTGTGTTTCTGTTTCAAATATATACACATAAACTGCCACAAAAAAAATCCAAGCATTCAATTGTCAACACTACACGCTCCCGCACTCACTGCACTCAAATATTCAAACACAACATACAAATACAGCACTGCAATCAAACGCCAAGACTACATACAAAAACACACAACTCCATTGAAATGCCAGCACTACACACAGATACACCACTGCGTTCAAATGCCAACACACCTACATTCACACACACCTACTCTATGCAAAAACAAGCTTACATTCAAACACATAGACACTGCTTACAAACGCAGCCCTGCAAGGATGGGCAAACGGTAGGGCCTCAGCTGGCAAACCATAGTGGGTGTTGTACAGCAGTTGAGGATTTACCTTTTGCCCCCTTCCCCTGCCTTCAGGGAGCCTTAAAACATTTAAATACAAAAACGCTTTCTCTTCTGATAAATATTCACTAGCAGGTCTGTGACCTTATTAATACACTGCAGTAGCTTAAAATTTCATTCCATTTATTAATAGTCTACCATCACACAAATATGTGAAGTAAACTTCCTCAGTTGCAAAAAAACATTTTCTAAAATAATTAAAAACAAAAGAAGAAAGTAGACCTCTCCAGACGCGTTTCTCCGCTTCGCGGCTTTTTCAATGGATGCAGTCTGTCCGTTAATGCTCGTTTTTATAGTGTCCTCCGCTAAATTTCAATTGTAGCAAATCATTATTTTGCAACAAAACAGATGATCTCTAAGTAGCTCATAGTCATATTGTATCGACTACTTCATAAAAGTTACAAATTATTATTCCATTTTATATTCTGTATTTGTTCATATTGCTGTGATAACGCCCGCCCACCTAGGCAGGTTTAAATATAACGGCCATTCTTTTTTTTTTGAATTTGACAATTTTTATTGGTCAGTGAATATTCATCACATTGTCATTGAGAATGGGAGTATGTACATTTCTCCCAACCAAGCTTTTACATTAATCACAGTATACATATGTAACAATTAAAGCATGACACACTGGGTGTGTTCGGTGTAGCTGTAGGTTCACTAGACCTTTTCACTCGGGGGGTTGGGGGAGAGAGGGGGAGGGAGGAGATGAGGAGGCTTAATCTCTGTTGAGCATGGCCCAATATCACAGGGCCTTCCAGACTAGTTCCAGTCTAGTACTTGTAGTCACCTACAGGGGTTGAATTAGAGTAGGCTTGCTTTGGATCTTTCTAAATAGTTTTCCCACATTGCATGGGCTTTTTCCATGTGGCGTTTGTTTCCCAATTGGGTAGCCCATGTGCTCTCATAATCCCAATTAAGGGAGATTTGTCGTATTAGTAGTTCCTTGGTGGGGGCTTCTGGCTTTTTCCACCACCGTGCAATGAGTGTTACGGCTGATATGAGTACATGGTACATGGCTGACCATGTGGCTTTGGGCACCTTTGTTGGGGGTACAAATAGAATACACAGTTCCAAGGTGAGGGTTATCTGTGTTCTTATTACCTCTGAGATTGTGTTTTGCACCATGTGCCAGAACGGCTGTAAGGCGTCGCACGTCCACCATATGTGGGACATGGTGCCTCTATGGATCCCACACCTCCAACATTTGTCCGTGGAGCGTGGCCATATTTTGTGGAGTCTAGCCGGCACCATGTACCAGCGATATTGCAGTTTGCGTTGTAGTTCTAGGTGTGTGGCGCATGAGGTCACGCCTTTGTGTGATGTGTATGCCTTGTTCCATTCTGTTTTATCTATGTTTTTCCCCATTTCTTGATGCCACGCTTGCACGTGTGTGTCCTCCGATATGTCTGTTGTGGGAAGGATTAGTCTGTAGCTAAGCGAGATTGTTTTCTTGAGTGGTTTCTTGTGCGTGCATAGGAGTTCATACTCAGAGAGATGTATTAGGGGGTCCGTATTGTGGGCGCTCGGTTTGGTCTGGGTTAAATATGATTTGAGTTGAAGATATGAGAAGACCATCCTGGGGGGTAGGTCGTGGTCTGCTTGGATGTCCGTGAAGTGTCTGAGTTTCCCCTCTTTGTACAGCTGCCCTATCTCTATGATACCCTTTTGCTTCAATGGTTTTATGTCTAGTGTTGGGATCGCAGTTGCTACTGCTTCCAGTGGTGTGGCTAGGGGCACTGGGTGATAGTTGACCAAACAGTGTTTAGAGGTGTCCCATTGATGTAGCTTGTGTTGCGTTGTGGGCAGCAGATGCAGGGTGTTCGGTCTATGGGCGTCTGGGGTCCAAAATAGGGTGTGCAGTGTCAGGGGTTTCGCCCAGTAGTTCTCTATATTTAGCCATTGTGGCGAGAGGGGGCCTGTTTTTAATTGTGGTACGATTGTCAGAGCCACTGCTCTATAGTATGCAGATATGTCTGGGAGGCCCAGTCCCCCCTGCGGTGTAGGTCTCTGTATCAGTCTCGCTGCGACCCTGGGCTTTTTATGTTGCCACGTGAAAGCCATCAGGTGTCTTGTCAGGGATTTAAGGTAGGTCACTGGTAACGGAATTTGTAGCGTTCTGTACAGGTACTGTAGCTTGGGCAATAAGGACGTTTTTATGGCCGCTATCCTACCCACCCAGGACAGATACTTCCCCTCCCAAGAGTCTAATGCGGCCTTGAGTGTAGTGGCTAGAGGTACATAATTGGTTTTAAAGAGGGAGGCTGGGTTTTTCGTCATTTTAACTCCTAGGAAGGTCAAGTGATCCTCTCTCCAATCTAGGGGGAAGGACTGCCTCAGGAGTTCCAGTGTGTTATTGGGTATGTTGATTCCCATTGCTTGCGTCTTAGTGACATTCAGCTTGTAATACGATAATTGGCCATATGACTTGATGTGGTTCATTAAGTTCGGCAGGGATATCAGGGGTTGTGTTAGAGTCAGAAAGACATCGTCGGCGAAGATGCTCAGCTTATATTCCTTCTGACCCAGTTTGACGCCATGTATGGAGGGTTCTGCTCTGATTTTGGCTGCCAGGGGTTCTAGTGCTAGAACGTAGAGTAGTGGGGATAGTGGGCATCCCTGCCTTGAGCCATTCGTTATTTGAAATTTGTCAGAACAGAAACCCGCGTTCATAACTCTTGCTGCCGGGTGGCTGTATAGGGCTTCCACCATATTCCTGAATTGGGTTGGAAAACCGAATTTGACTAAGACCGCCTGGAGGAATCTCCAGTTCAGCCTGTCAAAGGCCTTCTCCGCATCTAGCGATACAAGGAGGCCACCCGTTTCCGCCCTTCGGATGCTATGTATTAGATTCAAGACCTTGCGGGTGTTGTCAGCTCCCTGTCTGCCGGCAACAAACCCCACCTGGTCGTCGTGGATCAGTGTGGGTAAGATGGAGCTCAGTCGTTTTGCGAATATCTTCGCGTACAGTTTGGCGTCAGTATTGAGTGGGGATATGGGCCTGAAGTTGGGGCAGTGGGTCGGGGGTTTACCTGGCTTCGGCAGTGTGATAATGTGTGCTAGTAGTAGTTCCTCGGGCAGTTCTTTCTCATTAGTAGCCGAGTTGTAGAGCAGCGTCAGGTGCGGGGCTAGGATTTGCTTAAATTTCTTGTAGTATAAGTTAGTAAACCCATCTGGGCCTGGGGCTTTATTGGAGGGTAGGGAGCGTATTGCCTCTTCCACTTCCGTGATTGTGATGGGGCTTTGTAGTGCGTCTGCTTGATCTGTTGTAAGATGGGGTAGAGGAGTGTCGCTGAGGTAAGCCCCTATGTCCTGGTCTGTGGGTTCTCTTATTGAGTTTGCCATTTTGAGGTTATACAATTGTTCGTAGTATCGTGCAAATGCATTACTAATGTCTATGGGTGAAATCAGTTTTGTGTTGTTGTGGTTGTACACGTATGGAATTTTGGTGATTGCTTCTGTTTTTTTCAGTCTCGCTGCTAGAATTTTGCTGGCTCTGTTCCCCTGAGTGTAGTGGGTGGCTTTGAGTTTGCGGAGGTTATAGCCCACTTGCTTTAAAGAGTGTGTTTTGATTTTCTCCGATATCTCTTTGATTTCCCTATGGGTTTCCGCTGTCGGTTGTGTTTTGTTTTTGTTCGTGAGGTCTACCAATTGCTTGTGCCAACCTGCCCATTTGGCTCTACTTGCTCTCAGTGTGTGTGCTGCTTGTTTGATGAGGAGCCCTCTGATAACTGTTTTGTGTGCCTGCCATGTGGTGCCAATAGATGTGTCACCCGGTTTGTTAGTTGTAAAGAATTCGTTTAGTGCAACTTCTACAGATTTTGTAAATGCTCTATCCGACAGGAGGGACTCATTGAGTCGCCATGGGCTTTTGTGTTTGTAGTCGTAGATGTCTTTGAGGGATAGGGAGCACGGGGCGTGGTCCGACCATGATATGTTACCCACGGAACACTCTACGATCTGGTCTAGGTATTTGCTTTCTATGTGGAATCTATCAATCCTGGTATATGTATTGTGGACATGTGAAAAGTATGTGTAGTCTCTTTACGTGGGTGGAGGGTTCTCCAAACATCGTATAGGTTGTGTTCCTCCAGTAATTTAAGATACCTTGTGCATGCCCTGTGTTGCCTGGACCTGGACGTTTGGGGTGTGTGTGTTGTGTCCCATTTCGGGTCGAGTATGTGGTTGAAGTCTCCACACAGGATCAGTATTCCTTCCTGTGTCTGTCGTAAAAGGGTCAAGATCTTATGTAGGAAGTTTCTCTGGTTCGTATTCGGGGCATAGACATTGGCTATTGTGTATTTGGTGTTATTGATCGTGCCTATCACTATGAGGTATCTACCCTCCGTGTCTTTGTGTATAGAGTGTTGTTGGAAGGATATAGTGTTGCTTATTAGGACTGACGTTCCTCCGGACTTCCTACCTGATGTTGCGTGGTATTGGTGGGGAAATTGGGATGGTTTCATATTAGGTGGTGTCTTAAAGTGAGTCTCCTGGAGGCAGAGCACGTCTGGTTGTGTCCTCCTAATGTCTTTAAAGAGACAATGTCTTTTGTATGGGGTGTTAAGGCCCCTAACATTATGGGTTTGTATTTTCATACTGGGGTGATTGGTTAGATCCGCTAATAAGGGTGGTTATAGAATATAATATAGTGCCGTGGGGCTGACCTTCCTCAGGGCCGGTGTTGAAACTGCTTGGGACTAGAGGCGTCACATGGGGGGTATTGGTGTGTCTTACGATCCTCAGAGTGCTCCTCCGGTGAAGGGATGGGGACAGGTGTGGGTGGGTGGGGTGGGTGGGTGCATACCGAAGTAGTACGGTGGGTGTGGGCAATGCCACAGAAGCCCTTAGTCGGGCGACGTGTCTATACATTAGTATTAGACTTGAGCGTGGTTTTCCTAGTGTGAGTATAGTGGGGGTCTTACGGCCCAGTTTCGTGTTGTGACCTTGGATCAGTTAGCGCAGTAGCGTCGGTGCCTGCACATCTGTGGGTTAGGGTTCCCTTTGTGTTCTGCCGCACGGGTTTTAGCTTTTTGAGTAGGGGTGCAGCTTAGCATATGCATAAACAATCAACAATTGACAGTTAACATTTAACATTCAACATTTAACATTCAACAGTTAACATAGCCCCGATTGCCTATCCCGTCCTTGGTGCGGTTGTTGGAAGGCCACACCTCCCTGTATTAAACCTTTGTCTACACACTGAGTGTTGGCCGCCAGCGAGGTTGCTTTATGATTTCGCATCTCTCTCTATGCCGTTTGCCTCCATCTCGCAGCCAACAGTATTATTAATCATGTTTTGACACCCTCTCAAGGATCAACAGCACTCAGAGAGGCCTTGTCGGGGCCCCATTGGTTTCCCACCGGTGCCGCTCCACCGCCCCCAGCGCATGCCTGCACCCCGGGGGGACGCGTTGCGGCCCCGGCGGTACACCTGACCTCTCTGAAACAGTGCTCCGAGATGCACGGTGATCCTACAGCTTAGCGTAAGCATCAACAACAATATTTACTAGTTAGCCATATGCACATTCACGAATAGAGTCCCATTAGAGGCCTGGCCGGTAGGGGTTCACCACTCCACACTCAACCACCCTCCCTTGGTGCAGTGTGGCGCTCCCCCACAAGGCAACCCCCCCATGCAGCCTCCCAGTGCATGCATCCCCCCGTTGTGACCCACTCCGGTTCGGTGTAGCCTTGTATTTACAATGTTCAACTTAAGTCTCCTAAGTAAGTAGTAACATCCTGGCCTCAGTTATGCAGTGTGGTGATGTGGCCCGTGTTCCCTGTATGTCATGCGTGGTTGTCAGTTGTTGCGTGTGGCTGGAAGTGGTGATATGTGTGGTGAGGGATTACGCTTGGCCCTGTCCGGAGTGTTATGTTGGTAGGCATGCCATGGCACTACTTGGGTGTTGTCGTGACTGTGGAGTGTATGGGAGTGTGTGGATGCGAGCCCGAGGTGGGTCAGCGTAGGTAACGTTACCACTTAAGTCCATTCAGGGGGTCGTCCAGGACCCTTCGCTATGCCTGATGCGCATCTCGGAGTTAGTCCCTGAGTTGATTTTGAGTTACCAAGGAGGCGGCCTTAGGGGATCTGTGTTCCGGGGGACTGGGGTAGTCAATGTCTCCTTTGGGTGTTTAGTCATCTGTATCAAAGTAAAGTTCGCAGCCAGGTATGGCTTCGTCCTCCTGGTATAACGGCCATTCTTAAGAGAAAAAAAATTACTGAAATGCAATGGATATATAAGCTGGATACACTACAACCATATAGGATTAAATGCTGAATTTGAGCTTTGCCATTTTCTTGGATAATCCCCCTTCTTTTTTTTTTTTCTCATAGTTTTTTGTTATTCTTAGTTTATTTTATTTTATTAAAGTATTATCATATTTTAATGTGTTATGGCAGGTAGATGTTTTTTTAAACCTGTCCGGTAGCTGTAATTTATTAATATACTCATGATCCATATTATAATAAGGATAGGCATAATAGAGATTAATTATATATTTTTTATTTATTTTTTTCTCTTAAGAATGCCCGTTATATTTAAATCTGCCTAGGTGGGCGGGCATTATCACAGCAATATGAACAAATACAGAATATAAAATGGAATAACAATTTGTAACTTTTATGAAGTAGTCGATACAATATGAGCTACTTAGAGATCATCTGTTTTGTTGCAAAATAATGATTTGCTACAATTGAAATTAAGCGGAGGACACTATAAAAACGAGCATTAACGGACAGACCGCATCCATTGAAAAAGCCACGAAGCGGAGAAACGCGTCTGGAGAGGTCTGACTCCTATCAACGCCAGTCATCATTTTTACTGCAAAGAGGACCCACACCCTATATTTTTACAGCATTTTGCAACTTGCTGACTCGGGAAGCCGAGTTTCTAATAAGGTCTGGACTTTCTACTTTCTTCTTTTGTTTTTAATTATTTTAGAAAATGTTTTTTTGCAACTGAGGAAGTTTACTTCACATATTTGTGTGATGGTAGACTATTAATAAATGGAATGAAATTTTAAGCTACTGCAGTGTATTAATAAGGTCACAGACCTGCTAGTGAATATTTATCAGAAGAGAAAGGGTTTTTGTATTTGTATGTCTTATATTGTATAGGTTGTTAGGTCTCCTATTTTACCCTATTTCTCGTCTTATTTTAATCAGCGCTCCACTATCTGCAACTTCTTTTTTATAGCCTTAAAACAGTCTCTGTATTAGTTCCACCACTGCATCTAACTGACGTAAAATGGCCCGTTATTTATTTTATTTAATAGGCTCCGGACACACACAGAGTAGGTGGAATGTATGTAATGTACGTTACAATTATGCTGTCTTATTTTCCCATCATTAGTTAGTTTGCTTTTTCATTCAATAATTAGCTTTGCCTTTGCTATTAGAGTCCCTAGTGTAAAGACTTAATTTGACCACAAGGGGGTGTGTTTGAGCTAGTTCTGACCACGTAGCTGTGTTCCAGCTGTCTCCATTGCACTGCTATCAAGCTTTGCATTGTATTTCTAAACCGCAGCCAGACTGTTTCAGGTGTGAGGGGGACAATTGATGTGCAACCAAGTGAAACACAGAATTCTGCCTGCCGCACTCAGGAACCATATTGTGATTTGAATGGCACACTTAATTGCCTTCAAATATTTTGTCATTTTGAAATGAACAAGCATAATTTTAATCTGTTATTCTTGACCACGTCTTGAAAGAGTTTTTTACACCCCAGGACATATGCTTCATAACAGGCCGGCCATGGCGGCCGGGCCTCTCTCTCTCTATCAGAAAGGCTAGGCTTTTATCTCTCTAGAATGGCCGTATCTCTCTGTCTCTCTATCAGAAAGGCTAGGCTTTTATCTCTCTAGAATGGCCGTATCTCTCTCTGTCTCTCTATCAGAAAGGCTAGGCTTTTATCTCTCTAGAATTTCCGTATCTCTCTCTGTCTCTCTATCAGAAAGGCTAGGCTTTTATCTCTCTAGAATGGCCGTATCTCTCTCTGTCTCTCTATCAGAAAGGCTAGGCTTTTATCTCTCTAGAATGGCCGTATCTCTCTCTGTCTCTCTATCAGAAAGGCTAGGCTTTTATCTCTCTAGAATGGCCGTATCTCTCTCTGTCTCTCTATCAGGCTAGGCTTTTATCTCTCTCCAATTTGGCTTACCCTCTACCTCTCT